ACGCTGATTTATCTTGTGCAACCGGAATTCACACTGACTGTGACTGCGTTTATGGGAGTGCGTACGTTCCGGTAGACAACGTGTAGCTATCCTAAGGCTGTCAGTTGGCATGCTTCCTATACAGCCCATCACTGTGTTAAAGACTATAGAGGAGGGTAGAGGGAAGTTCACAGATAGCATTACGGGACACGCTCGCTTAACGTAGAGTGCCGCTAGAAGCCAAGCAATAGCCAAATTTTAGCCAGCTCCCGAGGTTTGGACCTGTGATCTGTTCGTTGGAAGTGAAAAGCCGTAAGTACTTAGCCACGAGCTAGTCCTGTCGGTTCTCATTCACGATGGTGGAAAGACGTTCATCGATTGCGTTGTCGGTAATGTTATTCTGCTTATAGAAGAAAGAATAATAAGTATGGCCACAGCTCCGCTCCGACGTATGGATGAAGCCATATTGGCCGTCGTAGAACATGGTCGGTTTTGCCAGATCGGTAACTTCATGATTCGTTACCTGTGGACGTGCGCAGTCAGCAAGGGCAACGACGTTATTAGCCGCGAGTTGCCAATCCCTCGTAATTACTATCCACCATTTTGATACATACGGCTTCTGACGCATCAAAACATCCTTGTTGGCAACCTGACAGAGAAGGGAGGATATCATCGATACAGATACGTTTGCAAACCCACGAAGGCGTTGATGAACTCACTGCCCTATCTTAATAATTCGTGAAAAGTCGCCTGTAGCAAGTTTCTGTCGAGTCCGTCCTCTGCTGGGCGGAGCTGGTGCGAAGGATAAAAAGTGGGGTGGGGGTGGGGTTCGCGACTTTTGCTAGGAAACTTCCCTACATGAAACTTACTTTGTTTCTTATTAAATATTGCGTACTCGACAGAGAAAGTCCGAGGTAATTCCACATTAAACATTTCAAGCCTATCAATCATCCTCTTAGTCCGGTTACCCAACTGTATTGTATCAATATCTAAGGGGTTGCTGTGCAAGTACTAGTTTAAGGCTGCCGATAGCAGGTCGGAGGGCACCTATACTGCCTTCAGTGTGAGGTTGTCCCTACCTTGTCGATTTGAGTAGTTCAGTTCAGTTAATAGACCTCAGCATCCGCTCTAGTCCAAGTTAGGC